AATAACAAGGTTTGACTTCCGGCCAAAATGAAGGCATAGGTAGATACAGTTTGCCTCCTCACACAACCAAAATAAGGGAAACAATAAATTTCAAACAAAAAATAACAAGAACCTCTAGAAAATCAAACTGTATGGAAGTCCGACAACCAAGGGTTAAAGAAGAAACATTCATCCAGACCAGCAGGAGGGGCGGAGATGGGCAGCTGGGGTGGAGAGAACCAGGCAGGCAAGGTTATGGCAGCAGGAGACCTGGTGGCCACACATTTGCATGATGATAAACTGTGAGAAACAGCTGGGGAGTGAGACAGACTGCACAACCCGGGGTTCCAGTGCAGGAAAAGAAAGTTTCAAAACTTTTGGAGGTAAAAACCTGTGGGGATTCCACTGGTGGGAAAACTCCCAGCCTCACAGGAGAGTTCACTGGAGAGACCAATGGGGTCTTAGACTGTACACAAACCCACTCACCCAGGAATCAGCAGAAGGGCCCAATAGCTTGTAGGTAGTGGGGAAAGTGACTGAAAACCAGCCGAGAGCCGAGCAAGTAGCATTGTTCCCTCTTGGACCTCTCCCCGCAACACAGGGTCACAACGCAGCAAACCTCAGCCACCTGGGTTGCCCTGCCCTGGCGAATACCTAAGGCTCCACCCTTTCCCACATAACAGGCTCCCTGAGACAAAGAAATATGGCCCAATTGAAGGAACAGATCAAAGCTCCAAAAATAGAACTAAGTGATGAAGAGATAATCAACCTATCAGATGCAGAGTTCAAAAACACTGGTAATCAGGATGCTAACAGAAATGGTTGAGTATGGTCACAAAATGGAGGAAAAAGTGAAGGCTATACAAAGTGAAATAAAGAAAAATATACAGGGAAGCAAAGGTAAAGGGAAGGAAACCAGGAGCAGAAGGAAGAGATAAACACTCAACCAGAACAAAATGAACAAACAAGAATTCAAAAAAATGAGGAGAGGCACAGGAACCTCCGGGACAACCTCAAATGTTCCACAATCCAAATCATAGGGATGCCAGAAGGAGAAGAGGAAGAACAAGAAATTGAAAAGTTATTTAAACAAATAATGAAGGAGAACTTCCCCAATCTGGCCAAGGAAATAGACTTCCAGGAGATCCAGGAAGCTCAGAGAGTTCCAAAGAAGTTGGACCCAAGGAAGCACACACCAAGGCACATCATAATTACATTATTCAAGATTAAAGATAAGGGGAGAATCTTAAAAGCAGCCAAGAAAAAAGGAGGCAGTTACCTAACAAAGGAGTGCCCATAAGACCATCAGTTGATTTCTCAAAACAAACCTTGCAGGCAAGAAGGGGCTGGAAAGAAGTATTCCAAGTCCTGAAAGGCAAGGACCTACATCCAAGATTACTCTATCCAGCAAGGCTATCATTTAGAATAGAAGGGCAGATAAAGTGCTTCCCGGACAAGGTCAAGTTAAAGGAGTTCATCATCACCGAGGCTTTATTACATGAAATGTTAAAGGGACTAGTCTAAGAAAAAGAAAAAGATCAAAAACTATGAACAGTAAAATGGCAACAAACTCACAACTATCAACAACTGAACCTAGAGAAAACAAAAACAAAAACAAACTAAGCAAACAACTAGAACAGGAACAGAATCACAGGAATGGAGATCAGAGGGGAGGAAGAGCGGGGAGAATGGCAGAAAAGGTACAGAGAATAAGAAGCATAAATAGTAGGTACAAAATAGACAGGGGGAGGTTAAGAATAGTATAAGAAATGGAGAAGCCAAAGAACTTATATGTATGACCCATGGACATGAACTAATGGGGGGGGGGGGAATGTTGCTGGGAGGGAGGGGTACAACGGGGAGGGGAATAAAAGGGAGACAACTGTAATTGCATAATCAGTAATATATGTATTTAAAAAAATATCAAGGCTTGATTTTACCATGTGTAATAATCTTAAATTAAGGGGATTTTCCAAAGGTTTATACAAAAATATTTTCTATATACAAGATAATTAATAGCATTTTTTTATGTAACACTTAATCTTATACAAATCTTTTTAGACATTATTCACTTGATTTTTAGGTAATTTTAGTGGGTAGCTGTTTTGTTTTACATGCCCAGTATCTTTCCCCTTTCCTTTGACAATGGAATCCCTCCCTCCAGTGGAGAACCCATCCCATTTGGGTTGAGTAGAGTTTATGTCTCTCATCCCAAATTTTATTCCTGCAATTAAACCCCCAGAAGTAAGTACCCTGCACAAGCTTCAGAATAACATTCCACCCTCAGGCCACAATGTTTAAGAGATGGGTACATAAATTTGGCCCATAAGAGTTCTCTCCAAAATTTTTGTCAAAGCTCACAAGAAAATATGTTCTCTCTTCTTCTGACACTGAATTTTAAAGACAAAGAAAGTCTGGGGCTGTTCACAGGTTTATCACTACTACCACTTGAAAAAAGCCTGCCAGACATTTAAACCAATAAAATAAAAAAGCAGATCTAATAAAGGAAGAGTAGAAAGTAAGAAGACCATGGGGAAAGGCAGAGAGAGCCCAAGCCCTGAAGACACTTGAACATCCTGCCTGGCCTGAAGCCATTGGACCTCCCACCTTTGTGAACAATCAGTGTATTTTTCTGCGCACATATCTGTCACTTAAAACCAAATGACTGCTAGCTAATACCTTTTTTATAGTAAAGGCAATCAGAGCAAGTGTAACAATTCCTATTTTACAAAGAAGATATATGTATGCTCAAAGAGCAATATAGGACATTTTGTCCCTGAGGATATTCTGAAAACAAAGACTGTAATCAAAATAATATTAACTGTCATAAATTTTCATCAAGTAATTAGCCTTCAGGAAAAAATTAAGGCAAGGTTCTGTTATCAATTTTTATAGAGTACATTTTATTAAAGCATTATTTTAGAGTGAATATCTTTTTTGTCCATATAGAATTTTACCAATTATATAATCTAAAATGCTATGTCTTCCTTTGTGGCCATCAACATGGGTTGAAAAACATTTTACTCTTTCATCAGTGTTTAATCAATACCATATTTTTCAGCATATAGCATTGTCAGAGTTTTACTTAATATTGTTTATAATAATTCTTAAATAATTTTTATATGACGGATAGTTTTTACTTAATTCTCGGCTAACTCATGAGAAATCTGGATATTTTTCCCCAGATACTTCAAAGCCATTTTATTGTCAAGATCTTTACCCATCTCAAAAATGCTTTTCTCAGTTATGTATCTCAGGCACATCTGTGGTAGTCCATCTAAAATGTGCTTTTAATGCTCTTAACCCACCCAAAATTGTAAACGACAGATTACGTCAATGAATATACATCCGTTAGGATATTCAAAACTATGAAATGAGCTCACAATTCAAGGACTTGTAGCTTTGACATACAAGTTCCTTAGCCCAGGGTCTCTCAGCAGCAGCGTTACTGACATTTGGGATGGGATAACTGTTGTGGAGGCTGTCCCGCACAGTGTAAAATGTTTAGCGGTAACCCTGGCCTCTGCCCACTAGATACTAGTAACACCCCCTTCCTCCTGGTTATGACAACCAAGAATGTCTTCAGATATTGCCAAATGGTTCCTGCAGGAGGGGAATCGCCCCTGGTTAAGTGTCAACATTTTTTTTGTAATACAAGACTTAGACTGAAGAGAAGGCCAAATATAGCAGCAATTTTCATGTTATATATCCTCCTAAAACAGGACTTCCTAACGATTTATTAGGTGATAATTGTTCTGGGACTTTATTGCTAAATTCTTTAATACGCAATAGGCTCGCAATGTTCCCAAGGTCAAAACAGCCTGCCTTGGGTTCAAAATAGTTAATAATTTCCTCAAAGTTAAAACCTAGTAAATACAGTGCTAAGACCTGAACGAGTCTATTGTTTTTCCCTTAATACCATATTTCTCAGGTGAAACCACAGTTCTTTATTTCCCCTCCACAAAGTCATCAATTCTATTACACTCAAAGAATATAATCTTAAAATCACAAAACTGCATGTTTCTCTATTTAATAATAGACAATCTGAATACACAAAAATGGAAAATTGGTAAACTAAATATTACACTGGTAAATATATGAACTTAATACCTATTTAAAATAATCACATATAACAATATTTATCACTGTTAATATTAATAATAATGGCTGAGTGAAACTAAATTATAAAACACACATGATCCCTATTTTTAAAAAAGTATGTTTATATAGAAAAATAAATACATTATAAAATCTGGCAGAAATAACATCAAAAAGTTGACAATTATGAGTTTGTATGGAAAGATCATATTTTAGGGAATCTGTGTTTTTTGCTTTTCTATAATAAACATAGATTTTATATACAAAAAGTAGTTTTAAATATTTCTATTAAAATTTTTGTTTCACACACAAAAGACATAAAGATAAGGCAGTGAATTCCTAAAAACAAAAATGGTATTAAAGAACAACACTAAATATGTCATAGTGGATTTATAGTTATGTTTCCAGGGTTGTCATTTGATTTTGATCTGTGGTATATCTGAACCAATTTAACATCAGAGTCCTAGTGAACCAACTTGCTAGGCCCTAACTATGAAAACACTACAATAATTTCTATTGAAAACTCTTTGTAGTAGCTAACCTCCTTGTTAACCTCTACGTTCCTAAAACCAAAATACAATACTACTATGAAGTAAAGAAATGCAAAAAAATTTACAAATTATGGATAATAAGACTCTCTGACAGCAAAGGATAAAAAGCTGTGGGTTTGGGGATTTTTTTTTCCTTAAAATAAATAACCCTCCCTTCTGCTTATAGAGGCTTTATAAAGCTTCTATCTTGAAAGCCAACAAGGCATTTCCACTTCTCCTGCTCCTTCTCTGCATGAACGTTAACATAAGCCACTGAATGCCTATTAGATACAAAGGGTTGATAGGCACTAAAAAGAATGTAAAGATAAATATATACATACCATCCAGGCAAAATAACAACAGTATATAATTTATATCTATTGTTTTACATACCTTGTTGCTCTTTCCAAACTACTGTTAGAAAGTCAGGTCAATTATATGCAGAGAGGACTTAACAGTTACATGTCTGAGTGCTACTGAGAGCATCCTTCCAACCTAAACTGTAAATCATTAAGGCATACTGCTATCTGTGGTTTTACATTTCTGTGTATGACTTCTGATTTAAAATAGGACACTCCAACCTTGATGGTCAATGTCATGGCACAGGATAGCCAACCGTTTGCCTCCTGTTTACCTGGCTCAGAATTGTTCTCACTTGAGTCCAGATTTCTGGCGTGTTTCCAGGTGCATTTAACCACAGTCCTCCTACCTTTTCCCTGTGGATCTTGCCAGTTAATGGTGGAGCTTTTAAGTCAATACCCTGTCTAGAATGTGTTCATGCCTCTCACATTTGGAGCAAAGCTTGTATTTGGATTTGCAGGACATAACACAAATTTCTAGGACATTTACAACTAATCACTAATACCTATGTAATACAGAATTTAAAAATTCACCCCCACATGGATTTCTATTTTTTAAGTTAACATATATGACTCATGCATGTTACAAAGGACATTTTTTCTTTTTCAGAAGGTTTACATATATTAACTCTTTCCATCTACCTACCCAGATAGTTCTGAGAGTTGTCAACCTAAAAGGAACTGGTTTCCATTCTTCTAAAGCGAGCCAAGGAAACAGAATTACTCTCACAAAGCTGAAAACACATATACTGAGAATAATAAAGAAGCTAACTTTCATTGAACATTAACATACACCAGGGATTGTATTAACAAATTAAAGCCTCACAACAACCCTATCAGACGTACTCTCCTTATACTCATTTTAAAGTTAAGAAAACTGGGACACAAAATTAAGTCATCTACCCTCAAATCACCGTATTTAGACAGTGCAACCCAGGCTAACCTCAAAACCCAAGTTACAGATTATGTTATACTTCCACCCTTGACCTTTGCCTTCTACAACAAAGGAACAACAAAAACTCAAAGACCAAAAAACAAGGAATAAACAAATACCCTAAAAGTCACAATAACTGATAAAAGGCAAAATGGGACATCACAACTCCTTACAGGAAAAACATTGTTCAGTGGATGAATGAATGAAATAAAATGTATGGGACTTCAACTCCCTCATTTCCTGGCAAGGAGAATTATTTGAAGCATGGAAAACATGGAAAGCAAAAAGAACAACGAAACCTACAATTTTATAATGAAAACGTCCACTATTCTAAGCAACAACAACATTGACAAAATCTTGCCTAAAATCACTTTGCCAATCAAAAGCAGCTACAATATACATCCCTTCCTTTAACCAGAACAAATGCTCTAACTTCAATACACAAGAGATTCCTAAAACCAGTTCAGGTAGAGCCAAAAAATACTAGGCTTAGAAATCAGAGCTAATGTAGTCCCTAGTTAGCTGTGTGAGCTCCAGCAAGGCCACTTTTCCCTATGGGTCTCAATGACCTCAATTGTAGCGTCAGGGGTTTTAACTAAATTAAATTGTAATTTTCAGCTCTAAGAAAATGTGAACCTGTGAGAAAGGAAAACTCCTGTGAACTGGGAAAGGCTCAAGGATCTATTTAAAACATCATGACCGATGGAGTCTTTAGCGAGAATGTACACTTGTATGTCACCGCTAGCCCTGGCTGGAACATGGCACAAATCTGCTTCCAGGCCCTTGAGACTCAGGGAGCAAGGTCAAAGTTTGGCTTTCAACGATCTGGCTTTCAACAACCTGGTTTTCAACAGCCTCTAAGGTCTTCTGCATTAACCTCTGCATGTACTGTAGTCAAGTCAGAATTTAGGGAATAAAAGCAGCAGTGGGGGAAGGAGAAAGCACTACATATTCCAAGTCGTCAGAAACCACAGTCCAGACCCCTCAGGTTACTGAAGGAGGCCCAGACAGTGCAAATGCTCTACACTGCACTGCACAGCAGTTTCCCAAATGCAGCAAGGCAGCAGGGAGGGTGAGGCCGCAGCGCGCAGGGGCGTCTGGGGGTTACCTGTCTGGGCCCCCGCCCCGGCGTGCAGCAGTCTGACCTCCGACCGCCGCCCGTTGCCACCCGGCCGGCCCCACACCACCTGACGCAGGAGAAGCCGCACTCGCCGTGCAGCCGGGCTGCCAGGGCTGCCAGGCGTCCCGAGAAGCAGGAGCCGGGACTGCATGGGGCCGGGGGCGTTGACGGGGACGGTGAGGGACTCCGGGACTGGCAGAGTCCCGTGCAGGCAGCGTGGGGCGGCGCGGCTAGGGGGACAGGAAGCTGCACCGCGCCGAGTCCGCCGGAAACTCCTTCCCCCGGTGCTGCCAGCACAGCCGGTTTGGGCAGTTCGGGCCCACAGGGGCGGAGGGAGTTCGCGGAGCCCGAGCCAAGACTGCTGGCCACGGCGGACCGGGGCGGACGGCAGAGGCCGCCGGCGAGGCGGAGCACTGGGCCCGGTTGGCCGCTTGGGTGCTGCGGGCCCTGGACTCCCGCGCGAGCCTCACACTCCTCGCCCTCACCTGTGCACCTGGATTTTGCACCTCCCTGGTTCCCCTGCAATTCTGTAAACTCTCAGGAGTACGAGAAATGCTGAAGGGTTTTAGGAGCCTTTGACGGTGTGACTCATGGATGTTGGTACTAAGCCTTCGTTTACTGGTTAAAAGCCCCGTCTTATTATAGTTCGTTTTCCCTGTACATTGCTTCAGATCCTTTCCAGGAATTGAGAATGTATTCACGAGACTGCCGCAACTTTTGCCAATCCTGAGTCATTGTAACCATACCAGTGTTTCCATACAGTTATTTAAAAGCCTTGTGCCTTATTATTTTTTCTACTTTTTCCTAAATTTTAAAAAGAAAACTATCTTAGTGATGCATAGAAATTGCCAAGATGTCAGAAGTTACCCAAATTAAGCATTGTTTTAGTCATTTTGGAGTGCAAATTATATAAACATAATTTGTGTGTTTAGTAAGAGAAAAAAAGCAGGACCCTGGCTAAGGCTGCCTTCCTTTCATATATGGGAAAAGCAGAAGTGCTCCTACCAGAAAGCAACCCAAGCCTAATATAATTCTTTTGCATCTCCCAAATGTCAGGGGTGAATTGACCAAGGAAAAAAGTTAAAATCAAGTATACAAAACAAGCATCAGAAAGAAAGCAGAGGCTTTCATTCAATTAAAGGATTTGTTAACTCTGAAGTTGTTGCTATCTTTAAATCCCTATTGAGCGCCTACCATGTGCATAACCTTGTCATATGTGCTGAGAAGAAAGTGACAAGAGGCTATAAAAGAAAGGAGCTGAGCAGAAGGCTTTGTGCTTCTTGCTGAAAGCTTAGATTTAAGGGGTAAATGCTGAAACAAGCTTTTAACCTAGTGGGGGAGACAGTGATAATAAAAGTAAACGTGTGTAATGCATTGCAACATGGTTTTACATATATGTTCTCATAAACTTCACAACAACATTATAGGAGTGCTAGGGGAAAATTATATAAATGTAAGATGAAACAGTTTATGAAATGCTTACCCATATTCAGTACATACTATGAGCCAGATATTGTGCTAATAACTTTAATACATTATCTTATTTTACACCACAACACTTTGGATTGGGGTATTATACAATTACTATATCCCATTTTACAGATGAATAAACTGAGGCTGAAAGAGTTAAGGACCTTGATTGGGGTATTTCCATTTGGAATCCAGTACACGCTGTTTAATGGAGTAGCAATCTAAAGTAATTGAGAAAAATGACTAATGTAAGCACTAAGAGTTCTTGAAGTTGAGACATTGGGAAAATCAAACAAGTTAGAACATTTAGTACTCAACAACATTTATTTAGCAACTCTTGTAAAACCAACCAGTACCCTACTATATGCTGTGTGGCAATGGGTTCACATCAAATATGAAAAACAAACATGCAAGTAAAGACTTACAATTCATCTCTCTTGAGTCACCCCCTGCACATCGTTCTTGTGGTGTGTGAACTGCCACAGTCCCTGCCCACTCTGTTCTCTGTCACTTGCATCTCTTCACCTTTAAGATGCCTGAGGAAATGCACCATGGAGAGGAGGAGGTGGCAACTTTTGTCTTACAGGCAGAAATTGTCCAACTCATGTCTCTCATTATCAACCCCTTCTATTCCAACAAGGAAATATTTTTTTAGGAGTTGATCAGTAATGCTAGTGATTCCTTCAAGAAGATACACTGTGAGAGCCTGACTTTCAAGTTGGATAATGGTAAAGACCTGAAAATTGACATAATCCTCAACCCCCGGGAACACACCCTGACTCTGGTAGACACAGGCATTGGCGTGACCAAAACTGACCCTATAAGTAATCTGGGAACATTGCCAAACTTGGTATTAAGGCAAACTTGGAGGCTCTACAGGCTGGGGCAGATATCTCCAGATTGGACAATTTGTGTTGGTTTTATTCTGCCTACCTAGCAGTGAAAGTGGTTGTGATCACAAAGCAGTGATGATGAGCAGTATGCCTGGAAGTTTTCTGCTGGGGGTTCCTTCACTGTACAAGCTCACCATGGTGAGCCCACTGCCAGTGAACCAAAGTGATCCTTTACCTTAAAAAAAAGAAAACAAACAGAATACTTATGGGAGAGTCAGGTCAAAGAAGTGGTGAAGAAGCACTCACAGTTCATACGTTAGCCCATCACCCTTTATTTGGAGAAAGAATGAAAGCAATCATAGTGATGAAGCAGAAGAAGAGAAAGGTGAGAAAGAAGAGGAAGATAAAGATGATGAGAAGGCCAAGATTGAAGATGTGGGCTCAGATGAGGATGGTGATAGTCCTAAGGATAAGGAAGAGAAAACAAAGATGATTAAGGGAAAATATATTGATCAGGAAGAACTGAACAAGACTAAGCCTATTTAGATCAGAAACCTGATGACATTACCTAGAAGGAATATGGAGAGTTCTATAAGAGCCTTACCAATGACTGGGAAGATCACTTGCCAGTCAAACACTTCCTACAGAAGATCAGTTTGAATTCAGGGTATTGCTATTCATCCCCTTAGGCTCCTTTTGACCTCTTTAAGAACAAGAAGAACAACAACATGACCCTATGCCCACTGTGTGTTCATCATGGGCAGCTGTGATGAGTTGATAGCAGATTATCTCAACTTCATCTGTCGTGTGGTTGACTCGGATGCCCTGTCTCTGAACATCTGAGAAATCCTGCAGCAGAGCAAAATCATGAAGGTCATTCATAAAAACATTGTTAAGAATGCCTTGAGCTCCTCTCTGAGCTGGTGGGAGACAGGGGAGCTATAAAAAATTCTACACAGCATTCTCTAAAAACCTAAAGTTTGGGATCTATGAGGACTTTACTGATTGGTGATGCCTTTCTGAGCTTC